CCTATATACAAGTTTTTAGCGGATTTGGTGATCTTGCCACTTTTAAAATGAGCTCGGAGCCGAAATTTCTGGAGTCCAAACGGCATTAGCCCTCTAGTCGTAGAACCGGGAAATTTGGTTCTTCAGTGTGATGCAAAGATGTTTATAAAAAGGGTGGTTTTGTTTGAAGGCACATTGCACGGTTGCCACTGATTGAAATGTTGTTGCTTCCCTAAAGCTAGCCATTTTATTGTTTGTTCAGCAAAAACATCAGCGGTATCGGGACGGAAGTGCTATCTGGAAAATGGGGGAGCTTGCCGCCCCGCTAGAGGGCGTCCAGGTTGTTTTGTTTCTGATAATTGTCCACTATATGAATCATCATTACAAGTTTCCAGGAAATACCGGTTGTATCACCTCTTGAGAAGACGCAACTGCAAATGATGAGGCTTCTCCAGATGAATAAGGACAGGATAAATGAACAGGAAAAGGTGGTGCTGGATCAGCTTGAGTTGAGATATCGTGATTGTATGGTAAGTCTGCACGTCTGCATGTCGCGTCATCTCGTTTTTAATAAATAATGCTGCCTCAGAGTGAATCTGGTGAATCACAGATCACTCAAACAACTACGAGTTTTTCCTCAATCAGCGAAGTCGATGTGAAAGGGCATCCTGCTGTTCAGGGAACCCCCAGTATCAAAGAAGAAGGTGAGTTGCAAAAAATAAGGTTTGAGCTTACAGTTTACTCAACATTTTGTTTATTTATAGAAGATACCAAGCCTGTGAAGTATGAACATGATGCGTCCCCACCACTGGGCGAGTTACCCTGTACATTCAGGTTCGTCAAACTTTGAGTGATTTACTTCTTCAGAATGATTTCGAGCCTTTATTTGTTTCACTTTCATTTCGTGAGTTTTGTGAGTTGGTTGAACCCAGAAATTTTTGTTGGGAATATCATTACAACTTTGCTCTGAGTGTTTCTTTTTCCGTGGGCTTCGATTTGAGTAGGAGTTCAGGAAATAGGTCATGAGTATTTTGAGGGAACACCTCCATGTGTGAGCGCTAATGATTATGTAATCGTTCTCCGTTACTACTGTTCACCATCGAATCTTTTACCACATTGATGAGTGCTTTTCTTTCCTTGGTAGTTACCAGATTTCTGGTAATACTGGCTTTATAGTAGCTGCAGGCGTCGCACAAAGGGAGACGCCAACGCGCGAGGGGCCCCCTTGTTAATCATCAAAATACTAGAGCGTTCAGGAAAAATACAACGGCAAGGAAAGTATCGGAGGCTCTTGAGAGAAAACAGGCTCGAAACAAGTGGTAGAGTCGAATTACGTGACCTGCCGCAAATCATCACTTAGCTGGTGCCACAAAATGTCTGAACCATTTAGGAACAGGGTTTGAATGGGTTAGGTGCTTACAGCTGCGGAAAAAAAGAAACTTGGAAGAAGCCAAAAAAATCGGGTTCTCCAACAAAGTACAAAGTATTAGCTGATTTTCTTTGTATGTACCGAAATATTGTGGATATTACAAGAATGCTGAGTTATGGGCAAAAGTCGGACCACGGACGGGATCCCGTCCGTGGTCCGACTTTTGCCCATAACTCAGCATTCTTGTGATAGCTTTCGGATCGCGTACTGCGGCGTTAAACAGCAGTTATCAAACAATAACAGCTTGAAAGTTGTGGGTATCGATAAACTAGGCCTGAAGTAACTATTTTCATATCAGTAAGTACGCTCTGAGCAAACTTAGATGCACGTGAGGTCTAGGTTCCGGCACCCATGGCCAGCCTGACAAAATGACCAAATAAAGTCCCTCACCTCAACTCCATCAGGCATCTTTGGGATGAATTGAAGCGTGAGTAAAATGGAAAAAGTGCAGCAGCACGAGGGGCAGTTCCATACATTTCAGGGAATGTGGAGTCAAATATCCGTGGCTACCCCAGAAGCTCCTGTGGGGTCTCCATGGATGATGGAGGCTCTAATTAAGTCTAATAGTAAGGAAATCGATCCAGATCCGGAGCGTTGAGTAGTTTTTAGTAGTAGTAGAATAAATTTTTAGTAGTAGTAGAATATTGTCGTTATACTATCTGATAGTAACCAGTAACAAGCTGTCAGGCCTGGCGAAGATGCTAAGCACCGAATTGTGGCCGAATAAATAATTTTGCAATGCATTTTGCATTTTTTTGAAATACGTCGTCAAATAGTAAAATATGTCGTTAAATAGCTCATGATGTAGGTCTCCCCTCGTGCTTCAGTTCTACCTCGTGGTCTGGGAGAAAGTCTGTTTTTAAAGTGGTGCCAACGTTTAGAGGGTAATTTAGCACAATGTCCGCATGCAAGGCTCGCATATACGACCCCTAAAACACCAGTAGTTTTCCACCTTTCCTGACCAGCCGTATGCCATTTTTTGTTTACATCCACCGAATACTTCATTATAATTGCTTGTTTTTTTTTCGAGCATGAAGAGTGTTCATTGAACATGCGGCCGTTTAGTCTTTCGAAGTTTTGAGAAGTGGATAATTATGAATTTTTAGCCTTCTTGCTCCCCTCCTGGTACCGTTGGACATCTCATCTTCCGAGCTCATGGAAATGTGTTCCAAACGAATTGATCGTCCTGCAGAGTTCACGCCAATCTTTTGTGAAAGAGTGCCCCCACCACAACCGCCTGATGCGCCGAGTGTTAAGCTATCTGTAAGTTTTATTCCGATAAACTTTTATGACTGCTCCAGAAAAGAAAAGTTGGTGTTTTTTTATTGGCATTAACCTGGAACTGTCCATCACATGAAAATTGAATGTTACGTAGTTTGAATGCTGAACTTTTAGCCGGCGTCGCCGGGGAACGGTCAGCTCTTCTCTTCGCCCACTCCCTCGTCCGTAGTTGAATCGAAAGGAAGGATGCTCAAGCACCGGAATTGCAAAGGTACTGTAATACTGGTTTAATAATCAAAAATAATAACAACTCGTGCAGTGAAAGGGACCTGTTTTGCATTCTTGGCCGTTCCTTTCCCTTTCTTGCTCACTGTAAAGTAAGTGACACCGGACGACACATTCATTTTTGAACTCCAGTACCTACACGGGGTCTGTCCTTAAGCAGAAGTATTTCTTCTGGTATTTGCATTGTGCATATACTGAAGAACGGAAACGTCAAATAGTAAAGATTTGATGGAAAGTAGCGCTTCGCAGTTCTCTTCAGTAAAACAATACTGAGGAACCCTTCATAGTAGTCGCTATAAGGGTGCACTTCTTTTTGACTTTCAATGAGCTCAGAAACTCAGCATGGGGCTGGGGGCAGCTAAATGACGCTTCGTGGAAAACAGGAGTTGCCGTAATGCGAAACTTCCTTTTGCGTAATGCAAGTTGGGCGCGAACGACATTGGATGGGACATTAAAAAACCCCAGTGTAGTGGGATTAACGTCATTCAAATTGAATTATGGTACTTGAAATTCGTCCACACATCGTGATGCTTCCCTATCGTTCTCGGTTTGAGCAAAAGTCCTCGCCTGCATAATTCTTGTTTTGCACAGGGAGTTTTCTAGAGGCCCACGAACGATTATTAGCGCCAAAAGTTGACCACCCGTCCCCTTCCTAAGCTGAAGCGAAAACCCTCCTTTCTATAGAGTAATCTCGTTTTGCACGTGGGGCCTTTAAATATCTTCCCCCTCCCTCTCTTTGGTCCATTTGCGCCAGGAACTCTTCCAATGTACTTTTCTTTCTTCATAACTAATAGATCACTTGATGGTTCAGGTTTTGTGAGAGTTCTCCGATAGCTCTCATACGAGGATTAACTGGTGTACTGAAAATGGATCTCAGTCTGTTTTCTACGAAAACTCTTCTGGAGATGGCACCTGATCATGAGGTTGAGGTTGGTAATCGCCCATGATGTCTTTGTTTTAATTTTTGAAATTAATTTTATAATAGGCAATAATAAATTGGAATTGTCATTTAGGTAAGGACGCAGTACAGGATGCCGTGTGATATGAATGTGGATCATTTGGGCCAGCCAACTTGGGAATGTATGAGCACACGGTCCTTCACTACGGTTATGAAATATGCTCAATATCAAGCTGAAACTTTCAAGCATTCGTTGAAAGGTATGCTTACTTCCAAAATTTAGCAAGCACGTTTTCATAGATTTAATTTTTAATCGATACATATGCTTATTTTCCATGCCTTCTCATTTAATCATGCCTCATTTTTCAGAAGAAGCTGAGAAACTGCGTTCCGCTGGTGCGAAATATGCTCAGCATGTGGCTGAATCGGCTGGAGTAAAGAAAAGAAGAGGTACTAGTACGTGTATTTTTTTAATGTTTCTAGAACTCCTTTATGTGAACTGTACTTGTGTTCATTCTATTTATTGGAAACCGAAACTGCCACCACAAAAACACCATGGGAAGTTTCTTTCTTTGAATAGCCGTCCTAGGTAAAAAATGAGGTGCTTTGCAGAAAGTGGAAGTATTCTACATTCTCGCACTGTTTCTTATTCTACGAGGGGCTATATTTGAAGAATATTGTGGTTGTTCAAAGCATGAAATTTCGTAGGTGGCACCTAAATTTAACAACGGCGTCATAGCGGGGAAATTTCCTCAAAAAGAAGTTTTCAAATCGCTCAACCACAGTTAGTGAATATCAGACCTAGAGCTTACAACATTGCTTCATGCTTCCTCCTCTTCGGAAGCTCCACTCTCAAAAATGTTATGTATGTTTGAATAAAGGGTACTTCAGGAGTTCCTGGTCTTTTTTGAAAGGATAGCGCAGAATAGCTTGTCCCAGTGCAACTGTTCAATGCGCGCCAACGAGAAGAATTTTGTGGCGTTGGGAATAATTTTACCCGGTTGTTCGACTTTTCGCGGTTTTTCCCCTTTCACATGAGCTATACGCCCCTCCCCCGCTCGACAGGACAATTTTGGGGCAATTTCGGGAAAATTGGAAAAAGGGGTTGGGAGTTAGGAAAATCCAGGAAAGTGTCGGGAAAGTTGGGAAATTTCTTCTAGAGGAGGGGGGGGGGTGGGCGGCGTATTCAGCAGAAATTCTACATAACGCGATGAAGTGCCGTGTGAAAGAGGGAGCTCTATGCGACGCACATTCACAAGGTTCAAAGGTCCAAATTCTCTTCCCTTAATCGCTTAAACCAACTTTAAGCCGTTCTAGAAATCATCGTTCCTTGGCCAAACACGTCTTAAGTTTCGAGCTGCTTCTGCTATTTGATAGCCTAGTTCAAGGCAAAAAGGTGGAGTCAAAAACTGTCATCTGTGCCCACCTGACACTCCAATAAGCGAAACATCCGCCATCCACAAAGCATACGGAAGAATGGGAAACTGATCTTACTACCGTGTTGAATAAGGAATTATCTACCGAACAGTATAGAACACACTTCGAAACGTTTCGTCTTCCACTTAAAATTGTATAAAAAACGCCAGCACTTATGGTCCAATCTCACGAATACTATTGAGATTTTTTTGAGGGATAAATGGAGATGAATGCGCGATGCCTATGAAAATGCTGAAGTTTGGCACAAATGTTGACCTTTCGGATGACATCAAGTGGAAAGCTCAAATCCAAGTAAGTGTGTTCAGTTGTCCTGTTTTTTTTTCTGAAGTATAGCTGGTGCAATTGTATACATTGCTTGTTTAGGAACTTGCTAAAATGCCTCCTTTTTGCCGAATCATAGCAGGCTGTAATATGCTTTCTCATCTTGGCCATACAGTTCTTGGAATGAATACTACTCAGTTGTACATGAAGGTAAATGATTGGATGTAGATTACTTGGTAAATTGATGAATAGCTTAATTGTACTGCGTGGGTTTTTTTCTGGCATAGTTTTTTTTCACAATGTCATAACTAATTAATATCACCCCCTAATCTCCGGGAAATGCAGTATATTTATGTGTATGGGTTGACATTTCAGGTTCCTGGCTCTCGTACACCTGCTCACCAAGAAAATAATTGCTTTGCTTCTATAAATATCAATGTTGGACCTGGTGATTGCGAATGGTTTGGTTGCCCATACGAATATTGGGGTGTTATCGACAGGATGTGTAGAGAGTGAGTCTAATTCAATTGCTAATGTGGCAAATGGCCCGTTTATGAAGTGCTCAGTCCGTGGGCCTCCCAGGCACTCGAAACCCTTCATCGCTTCGGGGCCGATAAACTGGCTTCAGTCTCGTCTTTGAGGTAGCTTTTACACTGGCCGGTCCCGCAAGTCATATTATGGGCCAT